CACATGCAACCTCCCCTTCACCCTCAAAAGGCCGGACATCCCACCGGTCCAACCATCTAAAAGTCTTTTTCTTGGCTTGAATTTAAATTGTTATTTTCTCTTCTTAATGATTAATAAAAAAATCACCTATTTTCTATTAGGTTTCATATTTTTTAACTTATATAAATGCTATGGCAGGTAGCAACCCACCTTTTCTCTAATCGGGGTTCATATTTTTGGGATTTTATTTGCCCGTTGTTGTTTTGGAACAAAGTATAACAACAAAACAAAACAAAGAAAAAGTATACCTTATTTCTTTAAAATTATATTTTTTAAAGAAGGGAAACCAGAAAAAGGCATGCGGATGGCATAGTTGCCAATGCCATGGCAACTAGCGACCTACCTTTTCTCTAAAATCGGGTTTTATATTTTTTGGATTTTACTAGATATATGCCCATGGTTGTACTGGGTCACGATTTTTTTTATTAAACCTCAGTGATCAGATGCGGACGTGTGAGCTCCGAGGACTTCATGTCGGATACGGACATGTGGATCCGATCTTCGTATCGGTGTTGAGTAGGACACAGACATGTGAGCTCTGAGGACTTCGTATCGGATACAGACACGTGGATCTGATCTTAGTATGGAACCGAGTAAGATGCGGACATGTGAGCTCTAAGTGGAGGATAATTTATATCTGTGGGGGTACTAACCCCTATACCCTTACGGCTAGGTTTGGGTCGGTCCACCGGAGGGTCCGGCCCCACCGAAGATTTACAGCCTTGCCCACCCGATCTTTCGAGTCCCGCCAAGAATCAATCAAGGCGGACTTGGAGATCCAAAGAAGATCCTGGTCGGTTAGAATAAGAATCCTTATCCGCCACCTATGGTAATTGTAACTGTTGGGATTAGTTTCAGATCTGTAACCCCCCCCCCTGACTATATAAAGGCGGCGGGGACCCTCTCAAAACAGACAATCTCATTTTACATACAAAGAATACAATCGAGCGCACCTGGACGTAGGTATTATACCCTCATGGCGGCCGAACTCGGATAAAACCTCGTGGTATGCATCTTGCGTCACCATCTCGCTCGTAGCTTGCACACTGTCTGCCGATAATCTACTACCTTGGGTATACCCCTAGGTAGACCGCCGACCATATTTCATCGACAAAGGTGGCGCGCGCGTAGGGGGCGTGCATACTCGCCTCCCCGTATTTAACAAAATGGTCATCATCCCCAGCTCCATGGCTACGCCGAACGGCCTCACGTTCACCATCGGCCAGATCATCTGGACCACTAGCTCCGACAACTTCATCACCATGACCACGGAGGAGGCGCAGATCCAATCTGCGTCGACCATCGCTTCACCAAAGATCGGCTGGGGCTCCACCACGTTGGATCCGGCTTCGCCACACCAAAGATCGCCTTCAACCACGCCGACAACCCGTCGCTTCGCTTCCTCGCTATAAAGGGAGGCGGATCGACAACACCGACCGCCGACTCCATCGATCGGGTCGGCACCAAGCTTGCTTTGAAACCCTAGCTCGGTAGATTCGATTCAAAATCAACCTACCGAAAGGGTAACCACTACCCACAATAGATCTACCCGACCACCAGGGCGGTCCGTCTGCACGACGACTTAAGACGGATCTCGTGGTCACGTCTACTCTCTCAAGGCGCTCCGCTCGTCAGCCGACCAACAACCCCAAAGAACGGGTCTCCGGCTCTTGGAAAGCGGAAGCCTTGATGGAGAATTACCAGCTCAAATTTCTACGGCTGCGCGAAACATCGCTTCCAACTACGCTGCATACAATATACAACGCTGCTCGGATCTGTGTTTTATACATCGACCTCGGCCAAAGCCACGCAACTTCGTCAACATGGTTCGGATTGAGGAGTATCAAGAAGTAACGGTGCACTAAGGCGACATCCACATGGAGCTACGACACCAGATTTGCATGATCGTTTGCCATTACACGCACGATGAAGATGACGTCAAGCAGCCATAAGACGGAGTACAAGCAAGTGGGCCAACTATGGGTGTTCGTGTTATGTATGTATTCATGCACAATGTACAGCGACAACCTGGAAGGACTCTGTGTGCTTCTCCAACTCCAAATATGAAGACCACATACAATCTACTAAACCGCCATCAGGCTATTCCGTAACCTTCACGCAAGCAAGGAAGATCTCCGACTACGCCCGACCTCGGTTGGACAAGCCCGAGGGCTTTTGCCTCCCATGCGATGGAACTAGGTACATGCCCTCCGACCATCGAATTGATCGAGCTCCGACCACATCGACCATGTCCCGAGCGGCTCCGCCGAGCTCCGACCACGTTGACCACGGACCACGTCGACCACGTCTCGAGTGGCTCCGCCGAGCTCCGACCACATCGACCACAGACCACGTCGACCACGTCCCGAGCGCCTCTGCCGAGCTCCGACCACCTCGACCACCAGACCACGTTGCAATGATGATCGCCACGAAGAACGGCGCTATGACAACCACAACCACCGTCACAACAGGCCGAAAAGTATGAGGATCGGACAACTTTATCGCCATCGACCAGATTTCTATCTAAAGATAAGTACACTTCTAATATTTATATTTAATATAATTTTCATTACGACGTTTCTCCACAACATTCTTGTCATGATTATTCTTCAAATAACGTTTGTCCATGTATACAATCTTAAATATAACATACAGCTATACTTAATACAAATCCTCGACCAGTCATGTTGATGCTCGATGTCTCCAGAAATGGCCCTGTCTCCGGCTCCTTCCTACACGTGCACGAGCGTCCGCCCTCTGCGTTATGGGTGGTCGGCAGCGGCTCCTTAGCGACGCTTTGTTCTTCCTACACGTGCACGGGCTCCGCGCCCCGCGTTATGGTTAACGGGCTAACTAGGGCTGGAGACTCAGCTACACACTAACTGGTTGGGCAATTTATATTAAGTATAAACACAAACTTTACTTTAACACTGATGTTTACAAAGCACCAACTGCTTTATCACATCATGCTCATTTGCAAATGACTGCTGAGCGTCATACGCTATTTCTTCACCGCTGATTCTTTCTCCATAATTTATTACTTTGTACATCATGTACTGTCATTCTACATATTTATATTGTAGGAATTTCGAGCTACGCATGGGGACTTCGTCGCCCGCTTCTCGATCCACGCCGGGATCGCCTCGATCACTCTCGACCACACTCGGGGACTTCGTCGCTCGCTCCTCGACACATGCTCGGGATCGCTCGATCACTCTCTGACCACAGCTCGGGGACTTCGTCGCTCGCTTCTCGACCTACGCTCGGGGACTACCTCGATCACTCTTTGACCATAGCTCGGGGACTTCGTCGCTCGCTCCTCGACCTGTGCTCGGGGACTGCCTCGATCACTCTCCGACCACAGCTCGGGGACTTCGCGTCTCGACTACATGCGATTGGCGACTCGCATACAGTTGAGATATTTTTCTCCTTTAGACCTTGCTACAAGGCTCATATCTCTCCTTCCAGCAAGCTCGGGGACTACATCGATACGATGCACCTGATGGTGCATGCTGTATCTAATTAACAAGACTCTTTTAGACCCTGGCACCACGTGCCTACATCACCTACTACTAGGCTCGGGGACTAAGTGGGCATACTTCACCTTGCGGTGAATGTGCTCGTTCTGATGGTTCAAACGCCTCCGATTCTACAAGGACGACCGTGTCTCTTTTCAACTTAGAGTCAAAGTGGGCACACTTCGGGGGAAATATTTTTCAAATTTTATCTTGAGCCCCTTACATCCTTCTGGCAAGCTCAAGACGGCGCTACTCGAATGATACAAGGCGCTCGGGGACTAGCTGTGGGGGTATTAACCCCTATACCCTTACGGCTAGGTTTGGGTGGTTACTCTAGGGGTCCGTCCCACCCGAAGACGACGCCACGCTGCCCAGCCGATCTCGCTTTCGAGTCCCGCAAGAAGAATCAAGGCAGACTTGGAGATCAAGCAAGATCTTGGTCGGTTAGAATAGGAATCCTTATCCGGCCACCTATGGCAATTGTAACCGGTTGGGATTAGTTTCCAGATCTGTAACCCTGCCCTCCAGACAATATAAGACAGGCAGGGGACCCCTCTCAAAACAGGACAATCTCATTTTACATACAGCAATACAATCAGACGCAGGACGTAGGTATTACGCCCTCACGGCGGCCGAACCTGGATAAAACCTCATGTTTGTCTTGCGTCACCATCTCGTTCGTAGCTTGCGCACCTGTCTGCCGATAATCTACTACCTTGGGCATACCCCTAGGTAGACTGGCGACTATATTTTGTCGACAGTATCAGACACGGAGATGTGACAAGGGTTCGAGATTCGATATCATTGGGTAGATGACGACGGTAGTCTTTTTAGGTGTAGAGATTTGCATGCTGTTGTTTTGGAAGCGGTTTATGAGACCGAAGCAACAACACAATAAAAAAAGTACACCTTATCTATTTCATTTTTTTAAAAGCACACCTTATCAAGGGAAATCAACAGAGAGCATGGAAAAGTCAGATGACATAAGCCTGTTCGCTTGCTCGTTTACGATCGTGGATTATAAGCTGGAATAGTATTTTTCTCTCATAGCAAACCAGCCAGCAGTAAATAATCCACGATCGTTTACTGCCTGCCGAACAACCTGTAGTTGTCATGTGAGAGCGAGGCTGCTTTATGAACTTGGCATAAAAGAGGGGAGCAGGTTTAGCACTTTAGCATTCACAATTGTGATGACTCCACTCCATCACTGCATACGAGTAGATCATGATGGAGAAATGACAATGCTCCATCTAGTCCCATACTGGATCTGACTTTTCTTTTTTTCCCCTTTCTTGTTATTAAACATAGATGGATCTAACTTTTTTTACTAGTACATGCAGATAGCTATTTTTTGTCCGTAGCAGTAACCACCGCATGCTGCAATCCTACAGTCATATCATATAACACTAAAGTAAGCATCACATGGCAGCAGCTGCTCATTCATCACATGTCGCAGCCAATCTTGGCCTGTGGAGGAAACAGCAGCCCCACACCAGCTTCTGCAGAGGAGATCACAGCAGTAGATTTAACCATTCTCATCAAGGCTCACACAGTAAGTTAGTAGTAGTAACCTGTTGAGTAAGCCTCTGTACAAAACTATCGTACGACCAACAAACAGACAGAGGTACAAATTGTGATGAATGAGCAGCTGCTGCTGCCTGAAGATGTTTCCCTGTCTCTGGCCCATTTGCCTTCGAAGTTTGGACACGTTTGTAGCTTGGGGCCAACGGCCAAGCAGTGCACATGTGTGACTGCAAGGTATGTAGTGCATTTCAAGTCCTCATCTCATCACATGGAAACCATAACTTACAGTAACTTTACCAGACTAAGATTGAGCACGTGAGCTGTGACTCCCAAGTAGGAGCATAATGGTTGCCGGTGTAAATCCAAGCCAAAATCTATTGCCACTTTGAAGCAAACTTGATCCAGATGTAAGACTAAGGTAGATTGATTTGATTAGTCTCACAAGTCACAACATCCCTGCAGTTCAAGCAGTCAAACCAAACCTAACGCTCCAACCTACATGATGTACTCCGTAGCTGATAACATTGGGACAGCGATTAAAGACAATCTTTCCCACAAATTGATACACTAGAATACTAAGCAGTTTCCCATAGCAAAATATCATTGCTTTCCAATCTGCACGTCACTACTGGATATAAACCAAAATATTAACTGCTGCACCGTGTTGCAATTCAAGATATGGTACCCCGATTGTACAACTCAGTCTCGACTTACAGATGAACAAATTCAAGTCCAATGTCAAAACAAACAGAAGTTTCAGAACCGCCAAGGGCGAACATATTTATCCACGGTTACTTTGCTTTTCAACAAACCCATTACCCATGCCTGGGGCTATACTCTCAAACAGACTCGATTTATGCACTGATTCGAGGGGTTATTATACATTAATACACCTCCTATGGCATGACTCTCCAGGTCGAGAAACAACCTGACAGAGTCCATGGCTACTGGAGCTAGAAACTCTCGTCCCTTTGGAACAGTATGGAGCCAATCATAACTGCTATTCCAGTGACAGCGATTGTGAAGAGGAGCCGCTTGTGTGGTGAAGCATGAGCAAGACGTGCTGGTCGTGCCAGTCGCACTGGCGGCGGCGGTCGTAGTACTCTCTCTGGAATTGCCCTGGCACTGGCACTTTAAAAACATTAATCCGATTAACACTGAACTTATACAAGAATTGGCATCTAATTTTCTTAAAAATGATGATACAACAAGTGCAAACCAAATATGATATCAAACTTAAATGTTGAGTCACATTACCATCTTGATGAGAAAAAAATATTGAACTTGGAAGTAGGAAGGCCTGGGTATTTGATTTGCGTAATGAATTCCAAGCATAATGAGTTCCATGGATTTGGTTTGGTACAGAAATAATCTAGGTTCGCTAGAAATATATGATTGCAGTATGTTTATGTTGGATCATATCAATGTTATAAAAATGAATGATCCAAAATTCCGTAAATGGAAAAGGATATCTGTTTATACCTGGATGTGTCTGCAGAACCATTTGAGTTCGTATGGCACTGTGTTTCGTGCCCTATCCATTCACGCAATCTAATATACTTTCTGCATGTTTGGCAGAGTTCTGTTCGGTTTCCACATACATCCTTTATGGCAAAACAGTGTGATCAGACCACGTATAATAAATTTTCAAAATATACATAGCTTCACAGGAAGTAACAAACTATACCTGATGTTCATGGAGATCAACTGCAGGCAATTCAAACTCGCAATATTCACAAGCGACAATTCTTTGAGGGCACTTTTCACCTTTATGAAGATCCCAGCTCTCACGTTCTATTGTTTCTTTGCAAAGGGAGCAATTGATCTGTATGCAAGAAGGAAAATATATTTAATGCACTAAAATATAATTACCTAAACCAGATGTTCTAAACATCCTGGGCATAAAATGTAGTTTACTCCTCTTGCCCCTATATATTGACAATATTCATTAGCTCATAGTTTCAATTGCTCAATGTAACACAAAACAAAATGTATATGCAAATTGCAAGTATACGAAGCAGCTACCACACTATCAAGGTGATAAGAAAAGGACCGGTGCCATAAATTGACTGTAATGTTGATTCTAACTCTGTAAAATCTGCAATAGTGCAATTAGCTTAAAAGGTAAGCATGGTGCAATCATACATATGCTCCCATTTACTATGTCTATAAGAGCTACAAATTTACAACATTATTAAAATGAAAACAAGTTTTGTCAATCATGCGATGCAAAGAGAGACGATTAAGTATGTCATGGATGTCATAAGGAACCACACTTAATACAATTGCAAACATACCGGGGCATGGTTTTCATCATAGTGTTCATCCATAAGTTTCCTAGGAATCATTTCGCAACAGTGCTGGCACTTTTGGAGGTTACGGGCGCAATGTACTGAATGCAAGTCGATGTTCGAAGATGGGATCTCTCGCTGACTGATGAACATAAAAGATAAAGCAAATTAAGCGACATCTGATCTGGCAAATAAAGTACGGCTGCTTGAGCTCATCAGACTACAGTTGAACAGCAAGTAACAAGCTGCATAAAACTTGACTAACAACAGTAGTTGGGTAAACTGTAGAATGAAAAAAATAGCTGATCCTGAGGAAAATCCTATTCTAGAAAGAATGGGAATATAAAGGGATTTAAGTGTGTTTAGATATCAATACCCTCTCCCATGACTGATTCGTTCCAATTTCTAACAACTAACGCTATGAAGAACAAACCATGTCATTGTAGGCGACCAGGTATTGGATCCCATAATTGGATGGACATTAGCTAGTTCGTTACCAAGTCCACCAGTTAACTGTACAACAGAATACCAGGTCTTGATCCTGCCTTCTATGTTGTATATGTACTGCACATTGTGTTGAATACAAGTCAAGCATTCTGCAACCACCTACTCTTACAGAGTTACAGTTTGTTCATCATTTGTATAAGTAAACAACAAATTAGCCCAAAAAGAATAAACATGTGAATGCACATTGTCCTTACATTGGATAAAAAATGAATAACAGTGCCTTGGTACCAATGATTAGGAAATATATCTCCTGTTTTTTTTTTTTTTCAACCAGCAGTTGATTAGTATCTAAGGTTATTTCAACAATCTGTGCAGAAATACATATACCAACCATCGCACAATTCATCATTCATTCTGATTTGTAATTTGTTTTGCTAGCTTGAAATGAAAAATTATGGCAGATTTAGGCATAGTCACTAAGGGGGTGTTTAGTTTGAGGATCAACTCATCCTAGATGAGGTGATGCATCATGAGTTCATTCCATGAATCCGGTGGAATCACCCATTTCCCATGCTTGTACTGACTAATTGTTTGCTTGAGGGATAAGGGATTCGTGGAGAATCTAACTCATTCTTGAGTGAGAAAAATGATGGACCACTCCATTCCTCAAACCAAACACACCATAAGAGTAGGACGTCGCATATCCCTTATAACTCCAAATATGGTGATACGCCAATAACGTCATCAACATACTGATCACGCGGTACGGCGGATCAGAACCCAACAAACAGCGTCTTCCGTCACCATAGAAATTCTCCTCGTCGTTGACCGAATCGGGGTTCTCCCCAGCTCAGATCCAAGCCTACGAGATCAAGCGCATCACCGACACGGCGACGCACGTGCACCAAGGAACCGGGAAGCGGGAGGGACAGGGAGAAGGAAAAAGAAATTAGGAGGTAAGAACGGACCAGTGGGCGCAGGTGGACATGGCGGCCACAGCTGCGGCGGGATCGGAGTCGGCGGCGGCCGCTGCCATGGCGCTTCCTGACGGGCTCGCCTCGCCGCTTGGGCTGCGGCTCCCGATCAGATCGGCGACGGGGCGCTCCCCTCTCCCGTAGTCGAGACGGCGCGGCCGAGCAGAGGCAGGCTGCGGATGAGAAGGGGGCTCCGAGACGCAGGCGTGGGGCGGAGACGCGGTCGTGCGAGGCGGAGCGATTGATCGGTGGGCACGGCAGCGACAGAGAATTTATGGGAGGGCGAGACGGGTGGCCGCTCGCCGGGTGGGTAGATTAGGCGAGGAGGGGGTCCGGTCAGGGGCATGTTCGAATACTGAAAAATACTGTTCTGGCAGAATGTGAATAGTGATGATATGAGTTGACTGGCCAGCCGGCTTAAAGCCAGCCGAACACGCCCTAGGTTCGTGTTTGCCGGCTGTAGCTACCGGCACCGACCTTCCCTTCACTTCCCCATGTCAAACATGCCAGCTTTTTAGGGATTTAATTTATCTGCTTTGGAAGATTGTTTTATCGAATTCATGATTTTCTTATGTAGTCCCAATAAAATTTTATCATAGTTTCATAGACATTAAATATGCTAATTAGCTAATGTGGTACCACTCATTAATTAATGAAAATTGTAGGTACCACCAACAGAGGCATATGCGGTGGTATACGTTGTTGTTAGTCTAAATATGTATGTGATGAGGTTCGAGACTCTTGTTGTTAGATAACACTATTCTTTTTTTCTATGCAACATGCATATCAATTTTTTCTATGAAACATGCATATCTTTTTGGTTTTTTTTAAAAAAATTGTAGGCAATTTTTTGACGAGATGTTTCGTAGTCTTGTTTCCAAGAAAGTGATTTAGTTTTTCATGGTAAAAAGGTATAGGGTTCTAACAACCTATTTAAAACACTCAATATGGTGTTAGTTTTTCATTTGGGAAAAATATTTGCGAGATTTTTTTTAAAAAAGCTAATGACGTCTCCAAATCTTGAGGATATTGAACCGACCAAACAATTTACTTATGACAAATTTACAACTAATTGTAATATACCGAATGAAATGTCTGAATGAAATAGATTCACTAGCGAAGTCTATGACCATCAGGTAGAAATAAAGAAGACAACTTGGTAACACGTTGCCTCCTTTTGTACAGACTCAGCGGCTCCGTTGTCTCAACGTAGGCGAAGGTCCGAAGGTGGTAGTAGCCGTCCTTGCAGTAGGCCGCCACCGTTCCCTCGTCCCTGATCCGCAAGGACCTCACCTCGCCGCTCTGCAACCTCCCCGCCGCGTCGCGCATCTTGTGAGCGTACAGGTGGTGCTTCAGGCTGTGCTCCTCCGCCCTCAGGGTGAGCACGTACTAAAGAGGGTTGGTTAAGCTGCTAATATGACCTACCCGCTCGAACCAAGGTGCCGTGGTGAGGGAGATAGGGGACTGCCAAGCTAGCAGTGCCGACCGACATCCGGAGCTACAGCTAGGCTGTCAAGTTACTATTTTAAGCTTTTCAATGCAATTAATTAGTGATCAAGCCAAACCCTAACCAAATTAACCTTGCTACCATTAAGAAGTATAGACTTTGATGCTAACCACTGAGCAAAAATATAGCACAAGCCTTGGGCTAGGTTTTCTAGATTTAATCCACCAATATCGCATCGTCACACTGCTTTCAACTCGAGAATTTTGCTAAGTCTAGATCGGATTCGCACCAAATTCGATTTCCCAGCTACCAACCATGCTAGCTAGGGAATTCATTTCTCGATCGTAGGTATTTCATCGTCGCCTATGAAGTTTGTACTACAAACTTTATTAAAGTTTCATCTATACGTTCTATAGCATTTTCATTCAATAAAAATTCGTTTAAAACGCTAAGTGATATAACGCGACATTTGTTGATCAAATTTCCCCCAAGGATGAAATTTTAAGTGATATAGCACTTTTGTTGATCAAATTTTAGGTTTTGTAAAAGAGTGATGAAACTCGTAGACTCATTATTGGCTCTGGTACCAACTGTGGTAGAACCGCTCAAAATAACATACTTACGGAGGCGCTTGCCTTCCATTGACACTAAGCGCCCCGAGAGCGGGCTACACCGGGCGGGTTCCGTCGGGCACACCCCAAGGAGAGCCCGAAAGATCCATATTTTCCCCAAGGATCCAATAATGAGAACGAGTTACAAACTTAGTCTATTTCATACATCCAGAGTTCTTAAAAATTGTATTATTACATTACCAAAGTTAGAGTGTGGAATATTAAACAGCGGAATGAAAATAAACATCAAGTAAACATCTATCGATAATAAGCAAGGATCCGTCTGTGCCCACCAGAAGAATCATTCACACAATGGCTATGTCTCAAGCAGTACTCGCAAGACTTATCCGACTAGTGGGAATAATTTTTTGACTCCAAAGAATATGATAAGCTTTATAGTTTGTCGGTTTCTTTTTTTTTACAGAAAGCAATATTAATAGTGAATCCTTATTTCTGTTCTTATTAGCGGTCATGATTCATTCAATACCTAGTCATTCTATGTAAGCACATGTTCTACATTCAAGCAAGAGTTGAGCAAACAGTTCTATTTCATCGTATTTCATCTTTCAGTTCTGAAAGGACCTAGGATGTTGCCTAGAGGAGGGTGAATAGGCGTTTCTAAAAAAAATCAACACCTTTAAAAGCGGAAACGATTAGTAATAGGAGTTTCCAAAATGGAAACTCCAAATCAGAGTAATACCACCCCTCACAAGTTAGCCACAAAGTATATAAAAGATACTAGATAAACCTAGGGAGCCAAACAGCGGCAACCAAAGAGTTGAATCAAAATGCACTAGTCTGTTAATGTCGGAAGTCCCGACGTTTGAGTCAGAACTTCTGACGTGTCGGAAGTCCCAACAGTTTGAGTCAGAACTTCCAACGCAAACTGTCAGCACTTCCGACCCCTACGGGAAATGAACTACAAGTGCTAAAATGAACTTTGTGATGCCGATAACTTACAAACCCACTTCCTAGTGGTAAGGTAAGGTGTTGGGTCACTCTCTTGACGTTGATAAGCCACCAATCCGTAGATCGAGTCCCAAACCCTAAGAAATAGCTAGAGAGAGGAGACAACCAAATACAAGTAATTTCGAGCAAATCACAACAACAACAAGCACGCTGGAGACAAAAATTTATCCCGAGGTTCGGCAAATTCCCACAAAGGAGCTCCTACGTCCCTCGTTGTTGAGGTGACCACTTTGGTCGAGTCTCTTCCACCTCCTTGCCTCACTCAAGGATACCACAAAGGTCACTTGAGTTTCTTCACTAGAAAACAAGGGTAATACAAACTTCCCAAGGCTCTTCCACAAGATGAAGCTCTTGGGCGACGCCCTAGCCGGCTAGGGGAAAATCCCCAAGAGTAACAAATGCAAATCAAACCGGCTTGACGAAGAAATCAAGTGCTCAAGCTTGCTCAAAGTGTTTTTCTCACTCAATCCACTCTCCAATCACTCAAACCCTTTGGGAATCGAAGTTGGAAGCAAGGGAGTGAAGAGAGGGGAGCCTAGAATGCTTGGGGCTGTTTGGCAGAAAGTGTTTGTCGCAATGAAATGAGTGGGCAACGGTTAGAATGAAGGAGACGGGTATATATACACCAAGGCAAAATCTAACCGTTCAGATCTACGTCGGGAGTTCCGACGCAGATCTTGGGACTTCCGACGTATGAAGAAAACACTGCTCATGTGAGGTCAAACTCCACTCGAGATGTACCTAACGTCGGAACTTCCGACGAACGTCGGACTTCCGATCGTCGGAACTTCCGACGAACGTCGGACTTCCGACGAGCACACGGATCAAGCAGTCGGAAGAACCATCGATGCCGGGACCCCCGGCTTGGGTCAGGACTTCCGACAAGAGTCATGACTTCCGACTGTCGGGAGTTCCGGCTTACGTCGGGACTTCCGACATCCACAGTCACCGCGCAGGCAGTGACTGGGAGTCAGCACTTCCGGCAAGAGTCATGACTTTCGACTGTCAGGAGTTCCGGCTTACGTCGGGACTTCCGACATCCACGATCCACCACAAGACGTGCATGGATCGAGAGTCAACACTTCGGCAAGAGTCATGACTTCCGACTGTCGGGAGTTCCGGCTTACGTCGGGACTTCCGACACCGACAGTCACAGAAAATTATTCTATGTGCACGTGAAGTGCTAGAGTGTCTCTCTTTAGATTTTATTATTATGCTTGAGCACTCTATCTTCCTCATACCACCTAAACTTGCATCCCTCTTAATAGTACGGCATACCTATTAACTCAAGATCAAAAGAAAAACGAAATTAAACCTTTTGAGTTGATCTTCTTTGAAATTGATGCCGTGTCTTTCAATCTTCATCAAGTGAGGGTGCCAACATGTCAATATTGATCTTGTCACTTGAGCATAGCCATCTTGAGCACGTGACTTGATTCCATTTATCAAATATGAATAACTCCAAAAAGTATCAAGTCACTTCTATCAAACATTCCAATAGTGATTTGATCCTCCACATAAACATGGCCATCATAGCTTGATTAGTACCTCAACTAAATGCAAGTACTTCCTTCTTCACCCTAGCTAGGTTCTTCGGCCGCCAAGCCGTCATTGCCCTTCACCCTTGCTTAGTACCTCGAAGCCTTTCCTTGCTATCTTCACCATCTCAAGCCATCAAGTCACATCTTGTGTTGAATCATCCATTCATGTATTGCCATCTTTTTCATTTCAATTTAGCAAGCTTCAAATATGAGACCATTCCATATGCAATCCCTTATGTCTCATTAATTGACTCTTATCGTGCTTGCTTTCACATAGATCATTGAAATCCCACAATAAATAAGCATTTGCATGAATTCCATTTGCATTGTTGTCTTGTGCTTGAACTAGATTGTTTATACAACAATACATCATTTTGGCTTTATACAATTTCATCAAGTATCTGTGAGATAATCAACTTCCTGTCTAACACTTAGCAAACATGTTAGTCCTTTAATCGTGTTGTCATTCAATCATCCAAAACTCACTAAAGGGC